GAGGAAGATTGTCCCTGAGTTAACATCTATGCCAATCTTCCTCTACTTTGTATGTGGGACGCTGCCACAGCATGTCCTGATGAGTGATGGGTAGGTCCGCGCCAGAGATCCAAACCCGTCAACCCTGGGCTGCCAAAGTGGAGCACACAAACTTAACCACTATGCCACTGGGTTGGCCCCTAGAGTAATTTTTAACAATCTGTTTTAACCCCTAATAGAGCTGCTCAAAAGGAACAACAGAACTGGAGGGGCCTTTCCTCCCACCGCTCTTCCTTGTTCCCACCTGGCGAACTTGTACACATCCTTCAAGGTCTAGCTCAAATACTCCCTCCTCCATGAACAGCAAAACCTTGTCTGAGACTCATTCCTCCATCCTGGCTCTAGGGGCTGGGCCTGCAGCAGCAAGTAAGTGGAACGAGGATCCTTCTCTTGTGGAGATGCTGTGCTAAAAATGACAGAGTTTATTGAGCCCTTCTATATGCCGAGCACTGTGCCTTTTAATCTCCTGACAACCCTGCAAGGTACCAGGTACATCTCCTGTACGTCCTTGAGGAAGGTGAGGCTCAAATAACTTAAGAAAGTTAAGGTGGCATAGCAAGTTTGTGGTGGAGCTAGGTAGGTTCCAGCCTAGATCTATTTGCCTCCAGAGGCCATACTGCTTCTGCATCACACACACGTTTACTGTTCGCCGAGCACTGTGCTAAGCTCTTTTTATGGATGTGTATTTTTCTTGCACTGCCTTTATAGAACATTATATTATGTTAAAAGTAGCTGTGGACTTCTAGTCAGCCAAGCGTGGATGTGGAGCGTAGTGGTTAAGAATGCAGCTCCAGGGCTGAGCTCCCTGGGTTCAGTCCTAGCTCTGCCTTCTTGCTGGCTGTGTGAACTTGAGCAAGAGACTTGACCTCTCTGTGTTTCAGATGTCCCATCTGTAAAATGGGGGTAATAATAACAATTTCTGTTCAGAGGGTAGTGGGAAGATTAAATAGTATAGCTAAAGTGATGACAACAACATCTGGCACTCTCATTTGTGAGTTTCTTTGAGGAGTGATCTAAGTCTTATTCGCCTTTGTATGCCTAGTGTGAGCACATATTAGCAATCAATAATCTTCATTGCAAGGGCAGCAGAGAGAAGCCAAGATCCTGAATAATCTTCTCTCAAAATCACCAACTGTTGGCATTTTTTTTTTAAAGATTAAAAATCTCCACAGCTTCTCCCTCCAACCCCTCAATGCCCTTGGGATTGGAATTTGAGACATTCTATCCTGATTCCTCTCCCCGTCTCTTGCCACTCATGCCCAGGGCCGCGACTGGGCACAGTACAGAGAGACCTGTGAGTATCCACCATGGGCAGGGACGAGAGAGCTGCGCGTTCTCAAACAGCCCTGTTCACGTTCCTGTCTCTGTTCATACCAGTCAACCCTCCAGCTCCTCCTTTCTGCCTTTCCGAAGGCTTCCTATCCTTCCAGCCTTTGTCCGATTTCCTCATGAAGCCTCTGGTGGGACACTTTAGCCCACAGCAATCCCTCCCTCTTCTGAATTTCTGTAATAACATCTATTTTTTGTACAGAGCTTTCATAATTCATTAACCCATGTTATCTTCACCCATTGAGGTAGGCATGGTATTTACCATCCCCGTTTTATCAACGGTAGAACTGAGTCTGAAAAAACTGACATTTTGCCAAAATGACACAGTCTGGACTTTAATCCAAGCCACTGACTCCAGCTGTCAGCTCTTTCCATTAGTAATTGACATCCTTACAGCACCCACCATCTGTCTCACACTCTGGACGCTTAGCACACGTGGGCCTATATTGATGGCTGTCTTTCCATGCATGTATGTGGGTATCTGCCTTTTGTAAGTTCCTTGGGGGAAGGGACTGAAGGACATTTCTCTGTATCTCCAGGGCCTAGCAGGTGTTAAGTGCATAGTTGTGCCCCCTAAATTTTAAGCTGTCCCTGGCTGTCCTTCCCTTGCTTCCGTCCCTTCCCTCCAGCTACGCTCAGAAAAGAGTTTGGTTTTCAGATGGCCAGAGGTGGGAAGGTTGGAGTACCAAGTTAGACACCAGAAACAGGAATCAGAGAGAGGGAGGGGTCACCTGAACATGGGTAGGTTGGGTGAGCTCACTGAGGAAGGAGCTCCTCTTACTTCTTGAAGTTCTTTGTGGGCAGGGCGTCGCCATTGGCATCAAGTAGAGGTGCCCTTGCTTCACTCCTCAGCCTGAGTTTCTCCACCTCTCTTAGTTCATTCACCGTCCTGAAAATCACTTGGTTCTTCCTATTCGTGTCCAAGAAGATAGGAGTACAGCAGATGAAGGTCAGAAAGCTGTTTTGACCCAGCCAGGAGGGAGGCGGGATGGGAGGCTCTGCTGGGGGGCGGCAGTGGGCCCTGGAGTCCGTCAGCCAGCGCCAGACATTGCTATCGTAGGGCCTGTCGGGCCTGATGGGAAAGGTGGCTGGCAAACGCCCCACATCAAGCCATGTGTGGAAGCCCCAGGTGTGTTGGGTAGCATCCTTCCAAGGGTAGATGAGTCGGTGACGCACCTTGGACTTAATTTCTGTGCAGGGTGGCAGCTTCAGGGCCAGCTGGTGGTAGGCTTGCCTGGTGAAGCCAGGCAATTCCCAGGACTCACTGGGGAGAAGAAACTCACGTTGAGCCCACGTTTGGTAGGTCAGGGGGTTCTCACGGGCGTGGACCATCTGGGGAGAGACAAAAGGGAGCTGAGGGGCACGCTGTCTCCCCTTCCCGGGAGCAGTTGCAGAGAAAACAAGCTGCCAGCCCCCTCCAGACCCAGGATGCTCATCAGGACACTGATGGCCTGGTGGGGAACCATTTCTCCGTTCCTGCCTGCCCATCAGAAGTTATGTCTGCTCTGTATTATTCTCATGGATTTCTCATCTTTTTTATTCTCGTTCTATCAGGTTTTGATCTCCCACCCTCTTTCCTCAACTTACATTTTCCCATTCTTTTTTTTTTTTTTTTAATTTTATTTATTTAATTTTTTCCCCACAGCCCCAGTAGATAGTTGTATGTCATAGCTGCACATCCTTCCAGTTGCTGCATGTGGGACGCGGCCTCAGCATGGCCGGAGAAGCGGTGCGTCTGTGTGCGCCTGGGATCCGAACCCAGGCTGCCAGCAGCGGAGCGCGAGCATCCAACCGCTAAGCCATTTTCCCATTCTTCACCTGTCCTCTCCATCCTGGTGCTCCTAAGAGGGCACAGCACACCTGAGGGAATTGTGAGAGAGAAGGCCCCTTACCAAGCCACGTGGAGAAGGGCAATCTTTCTCCAGAGAGAGGGGCCAGGTGCTTTTCTATCCCAGACTCCTCCTGTTACTTGTTTCTCTGTCATTGGTGTGTTCCCCCACTTCTCATTAAAATACAAGCAAGTATAGAAGCATCTGGAATGTTGGTTCCTTCCCATTTCTGCACCCCACCTCCCATGAAATAAACAGTAGCAACTATGTGTTAACACTATGCTAAATCCTTATCCACATCTCCTTTAACCCTCACAGCCCTAGGAGCAGGTGTTGTTATTGTCCCCATGTCAAAGCTACAAAATGCAAGACACAATGAAGGTAAGCCACTCACCCAAGGTGCTGAGTGAGTGGCAGAGCTGGGACCTGAGCCATCTGTCTGCGCTACTCATGATACTATGCTCTTCAAAATGCCGCTCCCTCCTAACCATCCCTAGGACTTCTCTGATTCGAAAACCTCACCTGTTTCTGGGTCTCATTCCCCTAAGTCATTTCTACATGGTCTCCCAGTGGATGGGTCTGGGAGATGTTATAATCAGGCATCTCTTCCTCTCTGTTCTGACCTCCGTGTTCACAGTAGCATAGGACTAAGAGAAGAAGACAGTGGAGAGTTCACAGGCCAGATCTGCTGCCTGGGAGAAAGCATGGCCCACCCCAGGGGGACAGCCTCTAGCCCAGCAGGGTGCAGAAATGTAGGCTGCGGAGATGGGGCCCCACCCCCTACCTTCAGGAAAGGTTCTCTGACGTGGGCTGGATTACCCCACCCTCTGGGTGATCTGCTCCGGTTACTGGCCATTCTTCTTCTGGGCCTGATTGTCAGGAGGGGCAGCCTTGTAGGGAAGACCTTCTTGGCAGCATTGTTTGCTGCTGGGGTTGCTATGGTGATGCTTCCTGGGTGGTGCCACAGGGAGGAGGCCCTTACCTCTCTCTGGGAGGGCTCATCCCTCCCTTGGGCCCCAGCTGCCTTGCAGGTGAGACAGGCAGAGGTTAGGACTCATAAGTTCTGACTGCAAAAGATGGTAACGGGAGCTGCTTCTCGGGAGGGGCTGCCCACGAAGGCAGGGGGAGGAGAAAAGCAGGGTAGGCTGGCTTCCAGGCCTTGGGGCTGGGATGGAGGTGGTCAAGAAGCTCCTGTAACTGGGCCCGTCCTTCCTTAAAGTTCTGGGCAGGGTTGGGGGGTGGGCTTCCTCTGTGTAGGCCTTCCCTTACTGGGGAGCTCAAAAAGGCCTAAGGTAACCAGCAGGAGCAGAGATCCCAAAGAGGCAAGCTGTGCAGGACCAGCGGTGGAGAAACTGCCAATTTCTGTGTGAGAAAGGATGTGTGCCTGTGCAGGCGTGGACTGTGCTAAAGCCCTTTGCACTCTCCTTCAAGTGCTTCTTCCTGTCAGCTTCAGGACCCCTCCTTATACCTTATGGACCAGCATCACCACAGCACAGAGACCAGCATCTCCACCCTGGACTTTATTGAGCAGGTAGTTACAGTAGTGTTCTTGAGCTGGCTCACATGCATGCGGTCAGCTGGGGCCTCGGGTGGCTCTTTGCAAAGCTGAGGTGCAAGCTAAGGAAGCCAGGCATTCAGGGCCCTTTCAGCCTTCTCAAGCCTTGGGCCAAGTTCTTGTCAATGCTAGTCTCTCTGGCATGATTAGGGACATTATCAGAGAAACATCTCATGGGCGTACATCTGGGCACCCACACTCTTTGCTTCAGATGCATCCATTCTCCCACCCCCAATTCAACCCTTGACACATTACAAGAGAACTTTTTACCAGGATTTCTTCTTGCAGGAAAGCTGACTTGGAAACATGGGGAAGTGGGAGGGAGGGGTAATAAGAGGGACCCTGGCAAGCAGATCCACTTGTCTGGGTGCCTTGAGTAAAGAACTCTTGAGGCAGGTACCTTGGGCCTGGAAGAAACCAGGCACTGCAGGTCCTCCCTTCTCTAGGAACTAAAAGCAAGGAACAGAAGCAAACTGAAACCCCTTGTCATCCTACCCACCTTCTGGCAGTCTCTAAATAATGATCTAAGGAAATAAGCTTACATTTATAATTAGAGGATAATTTGGAGAATATACAGTATTTACAAGTGCTACCCTGCAGGAAGCAGGGAAGGTGGGAGACTGCTGAGCACAGATGCAAACAGTTTGGGGAGTTCCTAATCTCTTTTCACCCTTGTTTTTGCTATTCCCACCCTTCAGTTCCTAGTGGGGAGAGTGAAGGATCAGATTCTCTCGGGGAGCATAGGGTGGCACAGAGACCGGTCACCAGGACCTCGCTGCTTGCAGAGCACCCAATGGCAGCTATGGCGTGATGCCTGCCTTGGTTTGACCAGGCAAGATGGGGCTAGTGGAGCGGACGGTCCCTGCCTGCTGTCCTCACTCAGAGGGCTTGGACAGCCCGGCCACATGAAGCGCCCAGAAGGGTGGACAGCTTAAGCAGCAAGTGTAAGGTCATGTCTCTACCGCAGCTCAGGAATGAACTGAGCCCAGCTGACACTGTCAGGGCCCAGTGGGTCCTCCTCCAGGCCAGGGAAGCTGATGTCCAGCAGGATCTTACTGAGGCTGTCATTCATTGTATCCAGAACCAGGCCTTCTGTCAGAGAACGGTTGGCTGAAAGGCTGGCAACCTGTGGCTCGGGGGGACCTGGCTTGGGGACTTCCATATCTGAAGGGGAGCAGCTGCGGAAGGGGTCAGAGGTGAGGTCAAAGGGCTCGGAATTGAGGAGCTCTCGGGGTGAGTCAAAGAGGGGGATACTTTTCAGTGGGGTGGTGCTGAGATCCGTCAGCCCCAGGGAGTCAGGCAGGGGCCCAAAGGCACTCTGGGGGGTTCGTACTGGGCTGAAGTCTAGACCCTCCCCTTTGGCTGGGGGTGTGAGCCTCCAGGATTCGGGGGTCATGGGGAGGACAGATTTGCTTGGGGTGGAGGAGATGGGCAGTGTCTCCTTACGGGGTGTCTTAAAAGGTCCTCCCTCCTCCTGGGAGTAGCCAAGCTGAGAGGCAGGCTCGGAGGACTCTGCTGGGAGAGTGAGCTCTGGGGCTTGTCGGGAAGTCCCGGGGCCCTCTGAGAAGAGCAGCTCGGGCTCATCCAGACAGGGAGGCAGTAGATGCTGTTTCCTTCGAGACCGGCTCATCTCCCTCCTCTCCCTTCGTTTAATCACGAGCATTTCAGAGACACACCGGGCTGGGGACTTGAGCCCACTGTAGGATTTCTTGGGCCTTGGAGTGGGGGAGTGGGATGAATCCTCCCAGGAGCGAGACAACTCCTCTTTGACAGATGGGGATGGCGAGGGCCACTCTTCCAAGGGTGGGCTCTCCACTTTGATGGGCCTCCCTAGGTGTGGCGTTTCCTCCCCAGGCTGGATTTCTTCCTCCTTGATGGACTGAACTGGAAGCAGAGGAGACAGCCCTTCTCCAAGCAGGAGTTCCTCCTCTTTCACTGGTCCTGTGGTGGGCAGAGGGGCTATCCCCTCATCGGCCAGCAGCACCTGAAAGGGAAGCAGGGATGAGGCGAAAGGGAGCTCTCGTGGCCTTGAGATTCATCCCAGTCACAGGCAGGACACAGAGCATGACTAAAATAAGTGACATGCTGGTACTGATCCTCTTTTTTGTCTTTTTAAAGTCTTAACAACTACTTAATATGGGAATATATGATGAAGATGGTAGTTCAGTTCCAAGGGTAAAAGATAGAACATTTAATATGGTGCTGCCATAATTAGCATCCATCTGAGAGAAAATGAAATTGATGTCTATTTTATACCATATACAGAGACTTAAACAGAAAAATGAAAACCATACAAATCCTGAAAGAGAATCTAGGAGACTACATGTACAATCTGAGGGTGGGGGTGACCTTCTTAACCAAGACTGGAAACCCAGAAGCTGTAAAAGAGAAGAGAGACATATTTGACTATATGAAAATTTAAAACCTTACTGTGGCAAGAGATACCATAAACGAAGTTAAGAAACAAACAACAGAAGTAAAAAAATGTCTTTAGCATAAAAGACAGAGGTTAATATTTTAATAACAAAGAACTCGCACAAATTATTAACAAAACCCTATAGAAAGATGGGCAATGTCCATAAATAAGCATCTCATAAATTCCAAGTGACCAAACATAATGAGAAGGTACTCACACTTATTGATAAGCAAAGAAAGATAAAATGAAACAAGGAGAAATCATTTATACACAGTAGATGGGCAAACATTTAAAAGACTAATAATACCAATTGCTGGCAAAGATATAGGTCTTGTCATATATTGCAGGTAGAAATGTGAATTATCACAGATTTTTTGGAAACCAATTTAGCAATATTTTTTTTTTTTTTTTAAAGATTTTATTTATTCATTTTTTTCCCCCCAAAGCCCCAGTAGATAGTTGTATGTCATAGGTTCACATCCTTCCAGTTGCTGTACGTGGGACTCGGTCTCGCGTTGGACGGAGAAGTGGTGCCTCGGGGCGCGCCCGGGATCCGAACCCGGGCCGCCAGCATCAGAGCGCGCGCACTTAACCGCTAAGCCACGGAGCCGGCCCTTATTTAGCAATATTTAATAAGATTTTTTTTGTTTTGTTTTGTGAGGAGATCAGCCCTGTGCTAACATCTGCCAATCCTCCTCTTTTTTTGCTGAGGAAGACTGGCCCTGGGCTAACATCCGTGCCCATCTTCCTCCACTTTATATGGGACGCTGCCACAGAACGGCTTGCCAAGCGCGCCCAGGATCCGAACCGGCAAACCCCAGGCCGCCACAACGGAGCACACGCACTTAACCGCTTGCGCCACTGGGCCGGGCCCAACAATATTTAATAAGATTTAAAATACCTTTCCACTCAGCAATCTCATGTCTGGGACTCTAGTTCATGGAAATAAAAGCACTGTTAAGAAAGATACTTGCAAAGATATTTATTGCAATGTTGTTCATAGGGCAAAAAAAACTAGAAACAAAATGTGCCCATAAAAGTGAAATGGTTGGAAAATTTATGGCGTAGCCACACCATGGAATATTATGTGGCTATTAAAAAACAATGAATGAGAGCTTTGCCAAGTGACTTGGAAGAATTTCCAAGAGGCAGAAAAGTGTGTGTAATATGATCCCACTTTCAGTGTTCTATGTGTTGCATGTGTATATAAAATGACTGTGGCTCTGTACATATGTACATTATACTAAGAGCATGGATAAAGTATGGAAGAATGCATACTCAATTGTCAACATGGGTTATCATAGGAAGCAGGGGTGATTGGGTAAAGGTGGGGGAAGGGAGGCAAAAAGAAGAAAAGGGGAAAAAAAGCCTGCATTAAAACAGAAACAGGGCCGGCCCCGTGGCTTAGCAGTTAAGTGCGCGCGCTCCGCTGCTGGCGGCCCGGGTTCGGATCCCAGGCTCACACCGATGCACCGCTTCTCCGGCCACGCTGGGGCCGCGTCCCACATACGGCAACTAGAAGGATGTGCACTATGACATACAACTATCTACTGGGGCTTTGGGGGAAAAAATAAATAAAAGAAAATTATAAAAAAAATAAAAATAAAACAGAAACAGTACACATGCTATAGTCACATTAATGCATTTATGTAAAATTATATATGGTGGTATGTACACTTATGTATATTTTAAAAATATTTTTTAAATAAAAAAAAAAATAAAAGCAAACCTATGTCTCTCTAAACTCCAGAGCCCATGCTATTTCCATCTCAGTGAAGGGGCAGGGGGCCTCTTCCTCTACTTTGTTACAGGTCAGCTGTTGCTCACAAACCCTTCCCTACAGGGTCAAGCCCAGACACTGTAGCCCATCACCATATGGTCTTAACTTACCCTCCACACTTTACCCTCAAGCTAGACCACTGATGCTCAACCAGGGCCAATTTCCCCCCCAGGGGACATTTGGCAATGTTTGGGGACATTTTAATTGTCACTATGGTGGGGGGGGCGCACTCCGAGCATCTAGTGGGGAGAGATGAGGAATGCTGCTAGACATCCTTCAGTGCACAGGACAGCACCCCTCCACCCCCGGCGAAGAACTGTCCCGCCCTAAATGTCAACAGTACCAAGGCTGAGAAACCCCAAGCTAGCCTGAGCCAATCACTCTACTGTTACTGGTATAAACTGGCATTTCCTGCCTCCAGTAGAATGCTCTCTCCACACCTGTTTGCTTACCCAAATCTACTTCTTTCTAAAACCCTACTCTTGTGAACTCTTCCTTAACCAACCCAGCCCATCTACCATAATCACCCTTATCCAAATTCTTATAAACTCATATGGGCCTTCTGACACCACTTATGTTGTAATCCAAATTCCTTTTTAGCTCTTAAAATGCTATTAAATTTTCCTATGTATTTATGCCTTGTCTACCCAACTAGATTTATAAGCTTCTCAAGGAACACTTAGCAGAGTACCTTGCACGCTGCAGGTGCAACACTTTAAATCATCAGAGAAAAACAGAAGCCACTTACCTTGGGGGCAATACGGACTCGCTTGCTATGGCGGGCAAGCTCTGAGCTCATGAGTGAAGCTGCCAGAGGCAATGGCACCTTTACCGAGGGCTGCAAGACCAGTGACTGGTTCACTGGGAACTGGATGGGCACCAGGTACGAGCTGACTCGTGGTAGCAGTGGCTTCATCTTCCGCCCTAGGAGGAAACAGTTGAGATGAGGAGCAGGGGTCCAGGGACATGCCCCTTCTCAGTCCCGGGAGCTTTGCTCTCCTTTTCTGGGCTCAGATCCCTTTGAGCTGGGCACAGAATCCCGGAGTCTGATTCCCTAAAGATATGCCCCCAGAACAAGGACGAGGCCTGAGGCCCACTCTCCCATACTAACGTGCGCCCAGTGGGAGTTCAGTTTTGATGGTCACGTTCCGGCGGAGCTCAGGATTGGGTCGCTTCTGCTGCTGCTTGTGCAGATGGGGAGAGAAAGAAACCTGGGTTAACAAGGCAGGGCAGAAGGCACAAGAACCCACCAGCTGCTCTGGTATCGTGCACTGAGCTAACTGACAGCCCAGAAAGAAAAAGCCCCTCTGGGGCATGGATGCAGGTGAGCACTATCTCCAGTGTCTTGTTAGTGAGAAAAGGTGGACGGCACGCAGACGTACGACGGCAGGACGGCCCTACTACCTCATCCATGTGTCCTCACCACCCCCAGGGGACGCTAAAGCATGTGGCTCTGAGAGTGGCAAAGAAAAGCCAAGTAGAAAAGTGAGAGAAAAAACTGCCACCTGCGAGGCCTGTGCCATGCACTTTTGTGGCTGCCGTCTCGCAACAGGCCCGTGGCATGTCTCCTGCCACGCCCTGCTCTGCTCAGTGGCCCTTCACGATGCCTGTGGGAGGCGGAGAAGGGGGCATGAGCCCTACTCCTGGGGAGATGAGGTGTGGTCACAAACTTGTCACGCCCAGAAGCTCGGGGTGTTCCGTGTTTAGGGCTGGCAGCCACAGGCCACAGGCTCCCTTCCCCTGCTTAACGCCTTATCCCTGTTCACTAAAGTCATGCTGAGCAGTGAAAGGAGAACAAGGCCAAGCCCCGGGCCAGAGGGAAAGAACCTTACTGATTCCAAGTGCTCGGGCGATTGTGGAGACCCTGGGTCCAGTGGCTGGTGGCGGTCAGGCATTGTGGGAGAGAAATGAGATCAAGTTACCACCAGTGTGGTCAGTCTGACCAGAAATCTGACCATAGGGAAAAACAGCTATTCCTGATTGATGCTGAGGGCCACCCTGGACA